TCTGTTCACGCCACTCTGAATTGGGCACGCACTTCAGCAAACTATGGTTTGGCATGCGCAACACATGTCACCGCCAACGCAGCAGCTGCTGCTGGACAAATTCTTCGGTGTAAATACCCGTTTCAAACCAAAACCGCGCTTTCTATCTGCCTCATTTCGGGTTCTAGATCATCCAGGAGCTATGGTTCTGAGACAACGATTGTTGAACACCTGAAGAGGTCTCAGTTTCTGCGCTTGAATAGGCTAAGTCGTACGACCATACAACAAAACAACCCGTACTGTAGCTTGGTACACACGTCCCCTGAGATTATGAAGACAAAGAAGTCTCAAACTGGTACACGAGGCCCGAGCCTTGCCAGTTCGTTCATTTACTCCATCTGTGACAGTACAATCAGAACTAGTACAACTTCCAGGATACGAGAAACACTCCACAAATTCCAGTAACTCTCCTTGGAATGTAAGTGGCGTTTTCAGTGACTACATGTCCATGAGCATGGCCTTACTGGTTGTAGGTGCAAAGTACGTAGCGAGGGACGGGATGAATTCGGTCAGTTCAAACAAGAATACTTGCGCCTTCTACCACCCCCCCTAATCAGAACGATATTCCAGATCAACAATGTTTTCTTCACAGGCGTTTTGAACATCAGGATTCTGAAGACCCTCCAGCGTTCGTCTCATTATTTGACCGATCACTAAGTTAAAAACGGATAGAGAGAGCGGGCATACCTGACGGACACTCCTTTGTCTACGGAAGTTTTTCGAGAGCTCTCCGTACACTTGCACATCCGGAAGTCTGAGAATACAGAAAACGTAGCATGCTCACGAAATTCCGAGACATTCTTTGGTGGGAAGCGCCTCAAGATCAGACCAATCAACCGCGTCGAGTGCGCCTCAGAAATCGAAGACTACTAGAATTGTGGGTCCCTTATGCGCATGGCGTTGATCTAGCACCTGAGAGCGTGAAGATTTGGTCAAAGCAACCCCTACCAGGTCGGACTCCCGCTTGCTGCTCTCGAGTCAGTATCTCGCGAGCCACTATAAGGCGACGAAGCACAATTTACGCCAACAGTCTCGTTACAACCGGGGTCATGATCCCCCTGTGGTTACCACGCTTACTACGCGCCTCTTTTTTAAAAACGGGCATTATCACCGATTCTTAACAGCTGTCTGGGACAGACTCAGTTTCACAAATGCAAGCAGAACGCTTGGACAAGCTCTGACAGAAGACTTACCCCGTCTTCATACAGTGAGGGTGGGGGTTATCCGGACCATGGGCTTGGTGGCACTTGACAGAACATATGCAGTCGCAGGCCGTAGGTGTTCCCACGTTCACCGTCCCGGGTTCTACTTTCGATCACCGTACAAAGGGGTGACAATCTCATCCCGGTATGTGTTCACATCTGATTACGGAACATTTGGAAGTGACCCTGGAAGATTATCATGGTAAGTTCTTCTGATATCCGGATCTATCAGTGTTTCAGTTGCCAGGCGATTCGTCCGCAACTTACGCGGCCCCGGGAAACGTAGTGAGAAGCGACTTCGAACGAGTGCGTAGTC